TAACTGTTACGTAAGTTAAGTAACAAGTTATAGTTAACTACAATCGGGCTATCTGTGCTGTGCCCAAATAAACCGTAATATATATCAAAACGTTAACTCTTGCATTAACTGTTTGTAATTAAGCAGTATGTTACACAATGGGCTATCTGTGCTGTGCCCGAATAAACCGTAATATGTATATCAAAACGTTAACTCTTGCATAAACTGTTTGTAATTAAGCAGTATGTTACACAACGGGCTATCTGTGCTGTGCGCCTCACGAGTGTCAAAACCTAGTTTCTAGCATTGTAAGTGTGCAGAGTTATTGCAATATAAACTCATTTATATGTTAATCTTTAGCTGACACACATTATTACAAGCTGTTAAAAACTCGGAGTATACAGTACAGTTTTTTTTTTCAGTATCGCACATACGTATAATTTGTAGACCACAACTACATAATACTGGTATGTAAGCATTAACATGAGCAATACATCTTTGGCTTAAACTATAAGTTATATAAATTGGCTTGACAACATATATTTATAAATAACTACAAAAACACTGCAGTAATACACATTGAACCACTACAATACGATACATAAGCGTGACCAGTTTTTATAACAGCTGACAAATATACAATCTCACGTAATACATTACCACTACAAAGCAACAACAATGTGCACTACTAGGGCACAACATACCAAACATAGTGTAATATATCATCATGATCACAATGTAGGTAAATAAGACACATAGTTTCAAATTCACTACAGACGCTTTATTCTAAATCAACATTTTTCCACTTGGTGAATGTGCCACAAAATGACAGACACCTTATTGTAAATAAACATTTTTCCACTTGGTGTATGTGCCACAGAATGACAGACACCTTATTCTAAATCAACATTTTTCCACTTGGTGAATGTGCCACAAAATGACAGACACCTTATTGTAAATAAACATTTTTCCACTTGGTGAATGTGCCACAAAATGACAGACACCTTATTGTAAATAAACATTTTTCCACTTGGTGTATGTGCCACAGAATGACAGACACCTTATTCTAAATCAACATTTTTCTACTTGGTGAATGTGCCACAAAATGACAGACACCTTATTCTAAATCAACATTTTTCCACTTGGTGTATGTGCCACAAAATGACAGACACCTTATTGTAAATAAACATTTTTACACTTGGTGTATGTGCCACAAAATGACAGACACCTTATTCTAAATAAACATTTTTCCACTTGGTGTATGTGGCACAGAATGACAGCTGTTTTAATGCACAGTTGCCATGCTGCAGTGAACATACAGTATATTTATCAGAGACAAGCTGTATTTTTAAAAAGCAACTCTAACCAAGCATATACTTTATGTTCCATACCCTAATACGAAGCTGTAACATCTAACATACTTACTTTTTAACAGCAGATTTCAACTTACCCCAAAAATAATGTGCAGCATTTTAACTTGGTTAAATATGGTTCACACCAAATAGGTGATTACTTACCCCAAAATAATGTGCAGCATTTTAACTTGGCTAAATATGGTTCACACCAAATAGGTTGAGTTGATTACTTACCCCAAAAATAACGTGCAGCATTTTAACTTGGCTAAATATGGTTCAAACCAAATAGGTTGGGTTGATTAATTACCACAAAAATACAGGAGCTTTTATGCTAAATGAAAATTTTTTTACAGAAATTACAGGATACCTGAGAAATTTCTGGAAACATGATTACCTGTACCATTGTCAGTTACAATCACCACAATATTTGGAAACAAGATCACCTACCATCATCGTAGCATTCAGAGTCTCAGCAAACACGATTACTTTCTATGAACCTGTAACCCCAGCCTCATTAAACATATTACCTTATACAAACCAATATTCAGAGTCTTGGTAAACATTACCTGACATGCACCAGTCTTCAAAGCCTCAGTAAGTATGATTAATGGTACAAACCAGTCTTCACAGTCCAAGTAAACACGATTACTTACTATCAATCAGTATTACGAGCCTCTGTATATATATATATATGCTTATCTGCTATGAACCAGTATTAAGAGCCTCAGGGAAACATGATTACCTGCTATGAACCTGTTTCCAGAGCCTCAGAAGACATTTATACCTACAACCATCACAATCTCTCTCTCTCTATCTCCTGTAAGGATGCATTTTCTTGGTCCATCAATATTTTACTTTCTAACGAGCTTTGTTTAGTTATAATCATCACAGCCCTGCACTTGTGGAAAGACATTATTTTAATGTTTTCTCAAAAAAATCTGTTTCACTACATGTAAAATTACCACAGTTAATCCTAAAAACATTTAAGTACTAAAATTATCATGTTTTTTTCCCCTCAAACAATGACATGTTTATCTCAAATCATAAAACGCTAAGATTCCAAGAACACACACACACAATGACAAGAGTACCTAGAACCTCGTATAAAACATCGTAATTTTCTTCTCACCTGAAGGGACAGTTTTAGTTGGCCCTTCTGTTTCTCGTTCAATATCAGAAATATAATCTTCATCAACTTCTTCAATGTCCTCTAAGTCTATGTAGTCATTCATGCGATGGTAGTCTTCTGCAATTCGAAACAAACAATCATGACGGTTTAAGAGTGTCACCAAACTGAAAATGTCAGTAAGTTTGCTGAAACGGAAATTCACGAACAATACGAAACTAAAGCTATAACTGATAGTCATTAAATTCAATCCCTAGTCCAACTCACTGAGGATATTCAGACAACACTGAAAAGATGTAACTAGAGTTAGTCTTAGGTTATGAGGATTCTTTTTGATCAACCAAAGTTATTTTATTTTTAATTATTCAGACAACACTGGAAAGATGTACCTAGAGTTAGTCTTAGGTTAAATAAATTGAGTTCTTATATATAACATCAGAAAAACTATAGATAGTTTAAAATTCTTCTGGATTATCAAATGAAATCTATCAACTTAATAACATGGTTTATCATAAAAATGGAAACATACCAGGTGGTAGGGAATACATCTCTTCTGTCCCACTAAAGCCTGCAAAGTCATAATCCGCAGCAACGGTAAAACTAGCACTACTGTCATCGGAATCCCTGTTTCCATACAGAACTGTTGTTTGGAAGTCAAACAGCTCCTCACCTGATATAAGTACCAAGAAAATCAAACTACTTAGTTACATTGCACGACTCCAAACACCAAAGAATCGCTTCTCGTTCGTTAGGCCTAACACCACTTTCTAGACTTAAAACATCACCAAGAAAATATTAATGATCATAGGAAGGTTTATATAATTTCATACACACATTTTTTTTAGTCATTGGCCATTATAAAATGTGAGAACTTAGTTGCATCTGACCATGGTTTTATTTCAACTCCTATAACTATTTTTCTAGTTAGCAAACACTTAATGCAAGTCATTCCTGTTACACATGAAACAAAAAAATGATTAATAACAATCACAACCACAGTTTCAGTTCTCCTACCCCAATGCTTGTATCTTGCTTGCAGTCTAATTTAAATATCCTCAACTCAACCACAGTTTCAGTTCTCCTACCCCAATGCCTGTACCTTGCTTGCAGTCTAATTTAGATATCCTCAACTCAACCACAGTTTCAGTTCTCCTACCCCAATGCCTGTATCTTGCTTGTGGTCTAATTTAAATATCCTCAACTCATATAGAGAAGCTATATAATTTTTACAACTGCTAATTTTTAGAAATAATAGATTTAAGAGACTTTCTTAACTTTCTATCTGTAATGAAAACACCTATAACCAGAGGAACCGAAAGGAACGGTTGGACACATCTTCAGTTGTGAGAGTTTTGTTTAGCCAAAATGTGGCGATTCTACGAAACAAATTGTTATCTAAGACATCAAATCTGGCAGCACCTCTACCGGAGTTTAACAAAAAGATTGATCGATATTTTTGGGTGGGATCAGAGTTGGATTTAGTAAAGTTTACTGTTTGGTGAGGGCAGTTGGGAATCAGGAAATCCTAGAAGGGCCAAAAGGCTTCTTGATGTCCCATAATTTATAATACATAGGTACATGTTTATGTGGTTCACGAGAGTTTACTAATAATCATCATTGTAATGACCTTTAATAATAAGTGTTATCATGCCTAACCTAACCTTCAATACATATTATCATACCTAACCTAACCTTTAATACATATTATCATACTATTTCCTAAAAAGTATAGAAGTCAATGAGGAGAACCTTATTTGAATGTAGGAAGGTGTAAGTTACTAAAAAGTATAGATCCATTTACACACTTTGTAACACCTCAATATAAAAGTTAATTGGGGTAATATTACTTGAATCTAAACTGTGGGAATCTGTGAATTGCTACAGACCAGTAAATTAATACATACTACACGTATCAACGTCAATACAAAAAAACAAACAAGATTACTGGAATTTGTGAAAGAACTGCACAATGATAAGAATAGCCAATATTTGCAACTAAACGATAAAAATAAAAACTATAAAACACAATCGTATTTCCCAATTCCTCAAAAAGAATTCACATTTCAGTGTCCTATTTCCGAGCTTCATGACTGAGAATATTTAATACTTACCACAGAGCATCTCAACGAAGTTGGAGGGTACAAGACCTTTTCTGCCATCAAGAAGTTCTCCATTGAAAAATCCATCCTTATGTTGCACAAAAACAAAAAAGTAATGCATCATTTCAGCTTCTGTTGTATTTCCCTAATCTCTATCTTCATGTACCAAAGTTATACTAAATGTCCAGATTTTATATCGTTATTTTCCACTGAACCATTCATATCTTGAAATAGTTTTCAAAAACAAACAAAACTCTGGTTTAAAAACAACAACAACACTATTTTGGTGATAACTGTACTTTGCTTAAAAGGAAATTTATTAATTTTTGAAGTAAAACTTGCATACTTTGAAGTAAGGCAAGTTTAGTGAATATATCTGAGGTGGAGTTAGGTTAGATAATACCTACAGAGTAACTTACACAATTATAAAACACATATACATCTCATGAAATCTGACTCAATGAGATTAAAGAACACTAAACAAAAGTATATTTTAAATATAAATGTTTTAATCTGAGATACTATATCTCGTGATGGTGAATTTATCTTATAATAGTTATTGCAATGACAATAATCAGAGTTTGGTATATGAAAAATGACTGTGATCTGGTTCAGTAGTCTGCATAGATAGAAAATGCTTTACTACTAAGCACTAGGGGATTAGTTTTTAAAATTTGTTCATAGAGTACTTGCCTCATGTGCAAGAGGTCTTGGGTTAAAATCTGAGGCATGAAAATATATATCGTAAAACAAATATACCACACTTGCACAAGTTTGATATAAGAAGCCATCTACTAGGTTAGATGTTTGCTTCGCCTTGATATAATTTATAACAGCTAGCTCTAGGAGTGTAGCTTTGTTTTAATACAAAGATACAAAATAGGCTATCGGTGCTCTGTTCACCACGGGAATCAAACACCAGATTTTAGTATTGTAAGTCCCTAAACTTACCACTGGAGGACTTGAATTACTAGATGAACACTTGAAGTTTTTCTCTCAGTAGTAAACAAATAAATGTACCAATCAGATAAGTTATTTTTCATCGTATAAATCGGAAGACTCCTTAAAGAGTCGAGTATCTTGCACCTCTACTAACCTTACAAGTTTATTGACAGATGTTTTAAATATAATACGTAAACATTACATCAGGCTAATAAAAATATACTACAAATCATTAAAGCCTTAGTACCAAAAGTGTTAGACTCAAAATATTGACTTCATACTCATTAGTAGGGTACTTCTGTGTATTATATGTCCATTACTGTATCCAATAAATATATATAACTATGACTTCTGAACACTAGAAAACTAAACGTGAAGCTTTGAAAGGAGACTATTTCAATCCAGCACATGAATAAGAATATAATAAAAGTGAATTAACAACAAACAAAGAGAACATCTCCGTACCTCATCCATCTCACCAAAAATGAGGACGTAGTCGCCAGCATTCAAGGCTAACTCAGCCTCAGGATTTTCATTTGGTGACTGTTGTAAAGGGTCATACGTATATCTGGCAATATAGACTTTACAACATCCCCTGCCAGGCAGTTCAATATGATCAATTGAAGATTCTCCGAGAGCATCTTCTTCAGTTCCCGTTACCTTCCGAGTTTCATCCACAGAGGTCACTAGAATCACATGTATACAAAATTGGCAGACGTTTCTAAGTTACCAGTTTTTACTTTCACTACAACCTGAACACACTGTTTCTGACAGAAGCTACAAACAGATACCAGAAAAATTTAAACGTTTCAATAAACACTCTCCTTCTTAAAAAACAAAACAAAAAATTTTTCCTATACACATTTACAAGTACTACACAGTTAATCAGCTCCCATTTCTTTTTAGTACATGAACAACTATGGAAAAACATGAATTTTAAATATCAGTCTATAAGATTAAAAAAGTATTTTTCTTGAAAAAAATAACCAACTTTTTTCCAGTTTCTTTCTTCTTATTATTATTTTTTCTCCACCATTATGTAAAAATTAAGCTGTTATGAATATTAATGAATAATTTACTAACCTGTAGTACCATTATGAGCAGAAATAGATCCAGCTGTGACAGGAACAGCAACCACAGCTGTTGTTGAGGTTGTGTAAGGTGCTGTTGGATGCTTCTTTGTGAGACTGTACGTATTAGCAACGTGTGTTCCGGCAGGGGCGGTGCCAGTAATAATGGACACTGATGCCGGCACTGGTTTAGTTGTTTGGAAAGCCTGCGGAGCTGATGTTAGAGGTTTAATTGTTTGGAAAGCCTGTGGAATTGATGCTGCTGTCATGCCAAAAGGTGCTACATTTCCACCACTTAGACTGCTTACACTAGAAAGGTGACTGGATGTCAGTGGAACTGAAGGTCGGCCTAAAGATAAAGAATCTACGATTAACAATATATAAAATAAAATAATAATTTGTTTAACTAAACACAAAATCAATTTTATGTGCATTATAACAGGGCTATACCAATTACTCGAACAAAACAATCAAATTCAATTGGATTTCCCACAGAAATCAATTTCAAAAATCATGAATATGGTAATTGTTTCTATTAATAAATCTTTAAAAGATTAAATATCCAATTACATTGAATAATTACAGTAATCCTTACGTGTTGTGAATTACGACAGGTGTGACTAGTACACGCTGGATTACATTTTTAACAGTCATTCACATAATTCAACACAAATTGACCTGCTAAATCAAGAACAAATCCATGAAGGCATTTTG